GACACGTTAACCACTCCGCCAGACTGTCCCTAGTGCCCTAGGGTCAGAGGGCAGATGACAATTTCAGGGACCGCCAATCATTTTCTCAAACTACATGCTGTGGTGAAGCAAAGTTGCATTTGCTGTAGAAATCGACTACGCTACTTATTTTTAATTTATAAGTAGGCTTTCTTACATAAGAGCTTAGTTAATCAAGCTGACTTATAATGATTGAAATGCTGATAGTTGAGTCTTCTTATATTCAAAAGAGTAGCATTTCACTCGTTCTTGCTTCACAAAAGTGAATACCATCCCAACTAGACTAAATTGCTCAATATTTTCTCATCATTACCACTAACTTGATTTGAGTCCGGGTCATGAGTAGCTTGACGATGTTGCCACGTCATTCCTTCGATGAAATTAAACCAAAGGGCAGATGCGACATTCAATGCAAGCCAAGCCCAACATAACTCACATTTTTCTATTGTTGAGTTGTCGATTGGGCAAACTTGTGCTTGCCATTCCAATTAATGACTCTACTTATTTTGTATATAAGTAGTTTGGGGGACTATCAGTAATTCTCGTATAGGATAGTCTTGAAAGGTAATTATCATGAAAATGAATTTAGTTACGACTTAACTAAGGCTTCTGCTGCTTTAAAATACGGGTTACGTATAGTACATCCTTCAAGGATCTAACATGAACTCCCTGTAATACAGACATGTAGACATGCAGTCACAGTCTCGGAGAGCAGAAGGAATCTGAGTGAAATAGAAACAATGTCTCGACCTGAGGAGGTAGTCCGAAGGTGATAAGACCCTCTTTCCTGGTCGGCCTGTAACTAAAATGTTGCCGGTTCGGTCGTGTTTTAGTGTCTGTCATCTGCAATACTGTTGCCATGACGATTAGAAGCATTCCACTGTTGATACGACGCATCCGTAGACCCTGCGACGGCCCGGTTCTTGGCCTCGTCGGTGTGAAGAAGGCAGTTGCCGCAGCGACTGATAAATCTCATCAAATTGGAATATGAAAGCGATTATGCCAAAAAATGATTCGTCATCCAATTATTGACGGTTTGAGAAAAGTTGATTTTTGCTACTGAGGATGGCATTGCTCATGACAATACTGAATGCGATAATATAGCAACGAAAGGAGAGAATGTACGTGGTCCACGGTCAGCTGCAGTAGGGACGGTGACATGACAACAATGTTCAGAGAACACAAAATTGAGCTATTTGACCCTTGCAGAAGTTTAAAGTTGAGCGTTATCATGACGAGGAGAGGAGAGAGAAGCTGAGGAGAGTAGAAAAAATGGTCTCTGTCTGAGAAGGAGATGGGTTTCCAAGCCGATCCGAAGGTGGAAAAACCCTCCTTCATTGGCGGCCTGAAATGAAGAACGAGTTGGTTCAGCCTCATTTTAGCTATTTGGTGGTTTTCGGCAGAGTCCCCCTGAAAAACTGATTGCGACGAAACAACTCGGAAGGCACCGGATCACCGGTCGAATGGAGTGTTTATTTTAATTTCTGGTTAAGGCTTTATTATGGTTTTAGTTTATTTAAAGTTATATGTGATGAATTCACCTTATTTCGTTTAAGGTGATGAAAGGCTGGTTGTTAAATTTTCACACAATCAAATGAGTATGGCTGACGTTTCCAAGTAATTTCACATAGTCTTGCTTTCCCAAAAAATGGTCACATCCCGACTGGAATAGGCTGCAGCTTCGAGCTCGCCTAGGCCTTAACAACACCCCCAGTAGCACTTGTACCATGACAATACAGCGAATCATCTTGACATGTTAACCACTACATCACACTGTCACGAGTGCCCTTAAAACACACGGCAAATGTGAATTGCAAGATAGTCCAGGGCTCTTCCCGTATCACATTCTGTAGTGTGATTGTCGATGAAGAAGCGTTACATTTGTCAGAACAATCGACTGCATTACTTATTTCTCGTTTATGAGTAGGGTG